ACTCCATCATTACTCCATCATGATTGCCAACAACTAATGTTTACCATCACTTTCCCAAAGGCTTCCCCAAGTCTTTTCTGTAAAAAAAAACATTAACATGTTTCCATATATATATACATACATACATACATATGTACATATAGTAGATAACATATAATGAATCATACCTGAAAAAACATGTGTATATATATATACACATATCATTTCCATATATTTTTCCTTAAATAACATTAACTATATTTCCATATATATATATGCAAGTTGACCACAGGCCCAAGTTGGCCCGGCAGTTCTACGTTTTTTTTTTTAATGACCTCATCGGATCCAAATCTCACAGAAAACATGGCCAATCCTGCAGAAGTAAACCGCAACACAAAAATAAAACACGCATGTATGATCATGTATAATTAATGTATATATAATATATAATATATATAATTATATAATTATATAACTATATAATATATACATATTTACTTATATACATACTTAGTTGGTTAGTATGTATCCTACTTATAATTAACCATAATTAACCCCATTGCAACATCTGAAAGTACGAACATTTCACTGCGCCTCTCAGTGGCTTAGTCTGCCCTTGACCTTGGACCCGTTTATGAAACTCTGCAGCCGAGAAAACATGCTGGAAATGCAAACTCCATAGCAGCCGTGCCAAAACCTGGACATTCTGGACTTCTGGTGCGAATCTTAGAGCTAGTGGAACAATTGGAACCGGAACCCCCAAAAAGTCGGGGCTATTCCATATATAATATAATATATATATATATAATACTATATAATGCTATATATACATATATTAATATTATTATTATTATTATTATTACTATGATTATTATCATTAGTTATTATTATTATATATATATGGTTGAATGACAAGATATAGTTCATTCAGCTCAAAATAGCTGAAGTAAGACCCTTTGGGGATGATTCCTCGCAATCTAAGCATCAGTGACGTCACAGTAGGGTCAACTATAATTCATCCAGGTAAATTGATGCTGAAATTCCATGAAATCATAGTGAAATCCTATTCCATGACCTGTTTAATAGGATTAATATAGACAAATCCTATTAAATCTGAAAAATCCTAAAATATAATTCACGGCACAACTAGCTTGTACCATGTTAAGTTCAACAAGCGACAGATCCGCAGCGACAAGTTGGGATCGATATAGCATGAGCCATCTATAGAGAGGGAAACAAATGATGAAAACCATGAAAATTTTGGAGGAACCTTGGGCAAACACATACACACAAATGAAAAAAAAACATGGTTCCCGGACAATACTATACAAAAGGTGTTACTTTAGAGGAGGTTGCCATCATTTGCCATCTTTCCAAACCCAAACATCAAACTTCCCAGGGGTTTTGCATCTGAGACTTTTTGTCCACCTCGATTCCCATGGTGTTTCCCATCCACTTCCGCCACTTCCCTCCGTCACAAGGAACTTCATTGCGAGCCTGGGCTGAAACAGGGTACAAGCTGGTGCCCCAGTTCGAAAATCGCTAAGTTGGTGGGCTCATAACTCCAATAACTGTTGGGTTGAGAGGGGCCTTGTAGTAGGATGTATCAAGTGGACCCTTGGAGAAACATCTCTGGATGAATAAACAACACACATGCCCTGGATGTCGCCCGGGCACGGAACACAGAGCTGCAGAAAATCCTCCATGTATACGAATAGTTGAGATATTAATGGTTGTTTATTCATAAACTCGTGATGTAATGCGATATGTGGTAGTTTCCAACATAGGGCTACCCCCAAATCATCATCCACTTTAGATTTGGCTTTTCCATTATAAATCAACCATCCAGCGATCAAGGGGTAGCTTTATTTTAGGAACACCCCATATGCCCAGTCAGTGGATGATATGGGATGAATGTGGTGGTCATCCATCCGTTTTTGAGGAATCCTGAAAGAAATGTCTTATTGAAATCCCGAAGAACATGGAACAATCCAGTATTTTATGGCTATAAATTTCCAGTTTCATCCAATAGGTGATTATAAGATATTATTTTATATATATCCGACGAATTCCCGTTCATATCCAATTACCCTCTGGTAATAACAACATTGCTATTGAACATCACCACTCTTAATAGGTAAATCAACTATTTCTATGTGCCATTTTCAATAGCAAACTGTAACAAATAGCCAAAGGGTAAATCACCATATCATCCCATTATTCACCATTATTAACCATTAAATCAACATTTATAGTGGTTAAATAACAATTTTCCTATGGTTTTCCTGTGGTTTTCCTATAGTGGGCCAAAAAACATCTACATCCCACATCCCACGACTCGCTGCAACACCGAGCCACAGGTGTTGCAATGCTCCTTAGCACCGACGAGGCGGGATCGAGTTCACTGCTATGACTGACGACATAGGGACTATGACTGGTTGGTGGTGGTATACCTACCCCTCTGAAAAATATGAGTCAGTTGGGATGATGAAATTCCCAATATATGAAAAAAAAACATGTTCCAAACCACCAACCAGGTTTATAAAATAACTATAGGGACTATAGGGTTTATAAAGCAACATAACTAGGGAGCATCTGGTTGATGGTCATTCCCCATGTAGACTTTGATCTTCTTTTCCCACGAATCTTGGTGAAGAAATACCAGCATTCAGAATTTTCGGAGTCATTGTTTACCATCCATAGGCTATGGCCCATACCCAAGTATCATAGGTGGACCTAGCCATATTTATCCTGCTGCCAAGCTTTGATACCCAGCAACACGCAATATCTATCTAGCAAATTCAAATACTTCCATATGGAAGTATTTGAATTTGCTAAATGGATATCGAAAGTGTTGCATCAAGATGGGACAAAAACACATTCAATGCCAGTACCCAAGGTTTACCCGGAGAGATGACCTTGAAATCCAATGCTTTCCATCAATCTAAAACCTGACCGAGAGATATGGTGAACTTGGTATAACCCATTTAAGTTTGTCTGAAACCTGGGTATATCATGGAATATCATTGTTTTCCACACTAAAAATTAACAGCACATTCATTTAACCAATGCCCGATTTTTTGGTTGTAAACAGTATGACCGCGTTGTACTGGCGGGCTGAGTGTAGTTCGCAGTTCGAAACCCCATTGCATCCACATGATTATCATGATTATCCCTGTATGATCCGTTCAGCTCACCAAAAAATCCATGCAATACATGGTGCTTCCAGGGTAGTATATATATATAATTTAATCAGTCATGATATCAATGTAAATCAATACACACACTATTTCCCATGATACACCTAATTAATTGGTGGTTTCAACCCCCCCGAAAAATATAAAAGTCAGATTGGATCATCATCCCAACTATTGGGGAAAAACATGTTCCAAACCACCAACCAGATACCCATAAGGTTGATCCAGATTCAGAAATTTTCACTACTCGGCCAAGCTTCGATTGTTCGGCTTCTCCTCCACCTCTTCACCAGTGTCGCCGTTCCGCTTCCGCAGCCAGATGCGAAGACCATGCGGCAGCGCCTCATGTCATCGCGTCGAGGATGGATTTCGACATGTTTTAGACAAATGGATAACTGCTGTCATATCGGCATATCATTGTTTTTAGACATGTTCGGTATATCGGTAAACCTTTCGAGGGCAATAACGATAGAAGTCTGTGTCAATCCAAATTCAAATGGTTTGACAAAAATGAGTCGACCGGACTCAAGAGACTTGTCTCTCCCTCTCTCTCTCTGTCAATCTTCCAAGGGCTCAGTTTAAACCACACATGTGAACCAGTAATCAGTCATTGTTCATATCCGACTGCAACACGTGTTTTGAGCTATGAAAACAATGCAGTCCAAAGCATATATAAACAGTAGAATAATATGTAGAATACTTGACAAGAAGTTTGCCAAAGTTGCATAGCCAATCTTAGATACCCTGCAAAAAAAAACAATTCTTAGCTGGTGAACGTAGATGATCCCATTGATACGAAAAGACTAGTTAGGATTGGTTTCTACCCATCTAAGATTGACCTAGGTTTCAAATGTCTCCAAATCCATTCCAAGTGGAGGCGTCCTAAAATATGGGTACCCCAAACCATGGCTTTTCCCATTGATGATAAGCAAGTTGGATGATTTGGGGGCACATTTTTCTTAGTGGTGCTAAACGTAGGGAATGGATGGGTTGCTGGGGAAATGGGATGATGACATTACTAGTGATGACTGGGATCATTTCCTCATTCCCTGCGTTTGGCACCAGTAAGTTTTAGGAACATATTAGGTGGTTTCTACTAACATACTAGGTGGATAAACCATAGCTTTTCCCATATCAATGACCATTTTAGGAAACCCGCCAAGTAGTCTTGTGCTCCTGGCCTCCCAGAGGATCTGCAGGATCCCGGAAGTATCCTGGAGAGTTTAAGACATGGACGACGGTGAGGAAGTCCCAGATTTCATGAATTTCTTCACCCATAAGCTGATTAATATCACGATAAACCCACCATTAATACCATATAATTTAATATCATTAATTATGATTAAAAAATGTTCAGAATGGGTTCCTAATGGTTAATCATGGTCAATAATGGTTAATATCATTCTGAACCCAATATGAACCCAGTACTAGTGATTAGTTATGATTAATCCATGGTTAAGAGTTAAGAGTGGCTTCATGAATGGTTAGTAGTGGTTATGGCTATTCCGAATATATTCATCTACTCGTCATGAAAAATCCACTATGCTTAAGAATGGCGTCATAATGAGTTATCCTCTGGTAATTTGTAACATAGCTATTGAAAATGGCCATAGAAATAGTTGATTGTCCCATTAAAGGTGATTTTCCATAGTTATGTTAGTTTACCAGAGGGTAATAATGGGTGATCCCACATGAAATGACCCTTCCTGATATTTACAATACACTGCAGTAAATCAAGGTTAACATATATTAAAAGCCCCCTGGTCATCCACCATTGATAAATCATGTCATATCATTTGCTGAGGAACCATGGCTACTTCAATGATTTCGTGGTTCATGTTCACCCCAGGGGTCATCTCAGTCTGCCCCATGAGCGACGGCACTGCGTGCACCGCGTCCTTTTTTTTGCTCAAAGCATAGGTTTGTACTGGGCTGAGCCCCAAAAGGGTCGAATTCCAAAATCACTCTGAAGAGGCACTAACGCCGTGAGCTGTACATGTCTCCATGACAGAGTGACCAAGATTCCGGCCATAAGCAGTGAGGGGCGCAGACCTGCTTAGTCAACCTCCTCAACGGTTGGGCCAGCGCCACCGCCCGGAGCACCACCCATGCCACCACCAGGCATGCCACCTTCTGGCATGCCGCCGCCCCCTGCGGCCTGGTACACCTTCATCATGATGGGGTTCACGATGCCCTCAAGCTCCTTCTGCTTGGCCTCAAACTCATCCTTCTCTGCGAGCTGATTCTTGTCCAACCAGTCCAGTGTCTCCTGCACTGCGGATTCGATCTTCTCCTTGTCACCAGACTCAAACTTGTCCTTCAGCTTCTCCTCGTTGAGGGTGTTGCGCATGGTGAAGCAGTAGTTCTCCAAGCCGTTCTTCGCCTCGATCTTCTGCTTGTTCTGCTCGTCCTCAGCACGGAACTTCTCAGCCTCCTGCACCATGCGGTCAATTTCTGACTGCGACAGTCGACCTTTTTCGTTGGTGATGGTAATCTGGTTCGACTTTCCAGTGGACTTGTCAGAGGCACTGACATTCAAGATGCCATTGGCATCAATGTCATAGGTGACCTCGATCTGCGGCACACCACGAGGGGCTGGGGGAATGCCATCCAAGTGGAACTTGCCAAGCAAGTTGTTGTCCTTGGTCATGGCACGCTCTCCCTCAAAGACCTGGATCAAGACACCAGGCTGGTTGTCCGCATAGGTAGTGAACGTCTGTGCCTTCTTGGTTGGGATGGTGGTGTTGCGCTCGATCAACTTGGTCATCACGCCACCAGCAGTCTCCAGGCCCATGGACAGCGGAGTCACATCCAACAGCAACAAATCCTGGACTGCAGAGGAGCCCTCACCAGTGAGAATTGCAGCCTGCACAGCGGCACCATAAGCCACGGCCTCATCTGGGTTGATGGACTTGTTGGGCTCTTTGCCGTTGAAGAACTCCTGGATCATGGACTGCACCTTGGGAATACGGGTGGAACCACCCACCAGAACCACATCATGGACACTCTTCTTGTCGATGCCAGAGTCCTTCAAGCATTTCTCCACAGGTCCCATAGAGTTACGGAAGTAGTCCATGCACAGCTCCTCAAATCGTGCCCTGGACAAGCTGCAGGAGTAATCAATGCCCTCGAACAAGGAATCGATTTCAATGGTGGCCTGGCGATCATTCCAGGGCCGATCTTTAAAACACACAAAAAAGAATCTACCCTCCAGCAACCAGTAAATTCACATAGACCCTGCCAGTCATCGGGGTTGTATATCCCATTAGATCACCATTAGATCACCAAGAGAAAATCTCCATTGCCCTCCAGTAAATTCACATAGACCCTGGCAGTCATCGGGGTTGGAAGATGAGTTTCCATAAAAAAAAGAAATATTTTTTAGGGTCTATGTTAATTTACCAGAGGATAACAAATATCTGAAAATATTTGAAACCACCAATCAGTTGCCTGTGTGGAAGAAGACAAAGTGCGCTTGGCGCGCTCGCACTGAGTGCGCAAGCGTCGGATGGCACGCTGGTTGCCAGTCATGTCCTTGCCGCGATTCTTACGCTTGAAATCCTGCATGCAGAAATCCACAACTCGGTTGTCGAAGTCTTCACCGCCCAAGTGGGTGTCACCGGCAGTGGCCTTCACCTCAAAGATTCCATCTTCAATGGTCAACAAAGACACATCGAAAGTGCCTCCACCCATGTCGTAGATCAAGACGTTTCGCTCTCCTGTGCCTTTCTTGTCAAGGCCATAGGCGATGGCAGCAGCGGTAGGCTCGTTGATGATGCGCAGCACGTTCATGCCTGAAATGGTGCCTGCATCCTTGGTGGCCTGACGCTGCGAATCGTTGAAATAAGCGGGCACGGTGACAACCGCGTCATTCACCTTGGTACCCAAGTAGGCCTCAGCGGTCTCCTTCATCTTCAACAAAATCATGGAAGAGATCTCTTCAGGGTGGAACTTCTTCTCCTGCCATTTGATTCTGATCGTTCCGAGGTGACGTTTTAAAGACAAAAATCAGAGTTTCACATAGTTTCACATGTCAAATACAAAAAATGGGTGCCTGATGGTGTCTGAACATTGGGTATACCCTGAAAAACACAATTTCAATGGGGTGATTTACAAACCCATGCCAAACTGTTCTCTTTGACGTACAAAAAAAATGACCTGCGGAAATGACCCGTGGAACAAAAATGATTATGGTTAATGATTATGGTTAATAGTGGTTAATAGTGGTTAATAGTGGTTAATAGTGGTTAATAGTGGTTTAATAATGGTTAATAGTGGTTAATAGTGGGTTAATAGTGGTTAATAGTGGCTTGATAATGGTTAATAGTGCTTAATAGTGGTTAATAGTTGCTTAATAATGGCTAATAGTGGTTAATAATGGGATGATAATCTGGTTGGTGGTTGACCTACCCTTCTGAAAAATATGAGTTCGTCAGCTGAGATGATCATTCCCAATGTATGGGAAAATAAAATTCATGTTCCAAACCACCAACCACTGATGCATGGGTCATTGTCTCGCCTCCCCTTGAGCGTTGACGATGATCATGGGTTTGTCACCCTGGCCAGCTACGCACTTGAAAGGCCACAGCTTGATGTCGGCCTGCACGATGGGGTCCGCAAACTTGCGGCCAATCAAACGCTTCGCATCAAAGACCTTGGGATGGTTCACAGACACGTCTCTGTGGCGAAACATGATTTTTGTTTTTCAAATTCGAAGCCGTGAAAAAAACACAATTGTTTCCTGACATATCATTGCCCAACCTGTTGGTCGTGACATGTGCAGTCTATCATGATCCATCATGCTCAAATGCAGTCGTCTTTTAATGTTTTTTTACATTGCAGTTGGCAAGAATAATGATCAAATGATCTACCTTGACCAACAAGCGGCGGTGTTCTCAGGATTGCGTGCCACCTGATTCTTGGCGGCATCGCCGATAAGTCGCTCTGTGTCTGTAAAAGCCACATAAGATGGAGTGGTTCGGTTGCCCTGGTCGTTGGCAATGATCTCCACTCCATCGTTCTTCCACACACCGACGCAACCTGGTTTCTGGAAAAACATGTAAAGCCGTCTGAAAACATGTAAAACAAATCCATGAAGAGACACATAAATTATCCCGGCAAGAGACCCCAAACAGTGTGGAGGTGTGGGAGAATGATGTATGACAATGTTGTTGATGATGATGATGGTGATGATGGTGATGATGATGATGATGATGATGACGATGACGATGACGGTGACGATGACGATGACGACGATGATGATGATGATGATGATGACGATGATGATGATGATGATGATGATGAAAATGTTGCGGGCGATGATGTTCAGAATGATGATGAGGACAATGAGGGGCAGGATGGTAATGTTAAGAATGATGAGGTGGAGGATGATATTGAGGATGGTAATGTTGAGGATGGGAACGTTGAGGAGGATGAGGATGAGGATGATAAAGATGAAGTGGAGGATGACAAAGTGGAGTGTGCTGATGTTGAGAAGGAGGAATATGATGATGTTAAGGATGATACTGTTGAGAAGGATGATGATAATGTTGCAGAAGAGGAGGTGGAGGATGATGATGGTGCGGAAGATGAGGTGAATAGTGATGTTGTTGAGGATGATGATGTCAAGGGGGAGGAAGAGGATGATGTTGAGAAGGATGATGTTGAGGAGGAGGAATATGATAATGCTGGAAATGCTGATGTGGAGGAGGAGGAGGAGGAGGACCGATCCCAAGACCGCGCCGCACATTTTGTGCGAGCCTGCGCAATCGAAACGCACATGGACATCTCACAAGAGCCATTTTATGCAGAAATTTACAGGTAAACGGCCGCAGACCAAGAGCAAACAAAATTCGCGCCGCAAACTTTGCGCGAGCCCGCGCTTTCGAAATGCACATGGACATGACACAAGAGCCATCTTATGCGGACATTTACAGGAAAAATGCCGGGGCCCAGAGTGAGCGCCTCGATCAAACACCGGCCTTACCGTAAGAACCCCTCAGTGTGGACACACTGTTTGGGGAGTAAAACTCCCTCAAAAATCGCTGCGGATTTGGTAAGATCGCCTGAAATCTTCCAGATTTTGTCAAGCCAAAGGACTGTAGGTGGTTCCAAGATCGATACCAATCGCGGTCTTCTTTGCCATGATGAATTGAGCTCCAAGAATTGGAAAAGAATGAGAGTACTAAGAGTCACTTTTCAGCTCGAACAAATGCCAGGTCAATTCGATCTCCGTTCAATCCTCATTCATAAATCCATCGTGTTAGCAATGTCCATAGCTATGTTATGATCATTTCCCCATATGTCCCCCTATGTTTCCTTTCATTTAAGGCTTTGTTCAATCAAAGGCTACCTCCCAAATTGGTTTGTTTATCATCATTTCCCGATGAAACTTGCCATTGGAAGGTATCCCCCATTGACACACCCATCTAATGGTAGTCATAGATTATCTGGTTGGTGGTTTTAACTATCTTGAAAAATATGAGTTCGTCAATAGGAAGGTTATGGAAGGTTTATCCCATATATTATGGAAAATAAAAAATGTTTGAAACCACCAACCAGTTATATGTCATAGATTACATAGCTAGTAAATTCCCTTTTTCAAAGCGTAGGACATTCCGATTCCATTTTTTCATGGCGAAAATAGCACCGCAGTTCTGTGTCGCACGGTGAGTTTCCGTTGTCGCACCTCAGCACTGTGGACCTCCTTGTTGTAGTGGACTTCCCTGAAGAGCGGCACAGCCTGCGATGCGCCAACGATTAACCGATGATCACATCCTATGGGAAGGGGGTTAATAATGGTTAGCGGTTAATAGTGGGTTAATAGTGGTTAATAGTGGTTAATAGTGGTTTTTAATGGGATGATCATCTGGTTGATGGTTGACCTACCCCTCTGAAAAATGATGGAGTTCGTCAGTTGGGATGATCACTCCCAATATATATATATATGGAAAAATGAAGAATGTTCCAAACCACCAACCAGCTACAAGTTATAATTAAACGATCCATACATCTACCATAAAGCAGTCCCATATGATCCATGTATTATGGTATATTTAGCTACAAAACTGGGTGATGTTTAGGGTAAATGTTGGTAAATATGCCATACATGGAGCATTTGGGATGGTTTGACAAAGAAAATCATGGGTGTATAAAAGATGATTGAAAACAGCCTGCTTCGGAAGTATAGGGATATAATAGGAGATAGTGGGATACGATGGGATATAATGGCCAGTCTGATATGTAGATTTATACATGTGATAAAACCGTTTTCTTTGGGTCTTCACTATCTTTTAGCCGGTTAAGCTAGTATGTATAAACTCACATTCATAGCGAAAGATTGAGTTGTACTACAGTAAACTATCCGTCCAATGTCGACCCGGAGATTTACGGCAAAAATCTGTGGATATTACCAACATAGAATAGCAAACGCGGAGATAAAACCAACCATAATGGGGATGTAGTCAGATATATATATATATATATCCAACTATTTGTGTTTTGTCCAAGAAACTTCAAATCAAATAGCAATTTAACTTTTGACGGTCTATCAATGGGGAAATTCAACATAAGATGATTACATTTAGCTGAATAATGTTCAGACCATAGGGGTATTATTCTGTCCAAACACCAGGGAATCACAAGCTATCTATGAGGGTATAAACCAGCAATCATGGGATAATAATGCAGTATCATGGGGACACAGCAGTGATAACATGCAGATAAAATCAAGCACTTTCAATGGCTGTTCATTATTGTCACCATCCTTCTTTGCGCCAAATTGTTCTAGGGTTCTCCTACGCGCATCGCTGAGCGCAACAAATCAATATTACGCAGTCGCCAGGATGTCATAGAATTCCAGTAATCTACAGGTATGAAAATATATGTACAGTACATAAGTATAAGTAAAGTATACATACATACACCACAAATAACAACATGTTCATGCAATGTAGTAAACCATAAACATCTCAACACATCTGTCCAAACCACATCTGCGGGGAACACATCTGTCCCAACTTCCTGCGGATAGTGGGGAGAAACATGGAGGTTTCCCCACCACGATCAGGTTTTCCATCCAGCCTTTACTGATTCGTTGTCTCGTTGATATCTAATAAGGGTGTCATCTAGTATCTAATATCTGATATCTAATATCTAATGATTTACATGTTCCATCTTTTGGGAAGGTTGCTGGATATTTGAAATATATATCTGGTTGGTGGTTGACCTACCCCTCTGAAAAATATGAAAGTCAGTTGGGGTTACTATTCCCAATACATGGAAAAAACAAAAATGTTCCAAACCACCAACCAGTAAATTGTTTGATTGTCATCTAGTATCTATAGTGATGTACACATAGTCACACTATTTGGAAAACTGGCAGCAATTCCACCTGAAATCATGGTCAGGATGATGGCATGGCTACAAGGTCAAAGAAATTCTTCGGGCTGCAGCTGGGGTTATCCAATGGATATAATATGATATAGTCATGGTAATTACCCCCATCAGTTGGAATATGCCCTCCCTAAAACTATGGCAATATATCCAATGATAACTGGAACTGAACTGCAGTTTAACCCCAAGATAGATTTCTGTTGCTTTATAACTATAGCCCAAATGCTCCATGGTATATTTACCAACATTTACCCTAAACATAACCCAGTTTTGTAGGTTTTTATATACCATAAATCCCTAAAACATGGATCCTATGGGACTGCTTTGCCCTCTCATGGGATGCAGCGTGTTTCGCGTGTCTCCTGGGCCCGGCCTCCAAGCTGGTTAAGCCCAATGGAATGATATACAGCACCTGGGGTTTTGTTCAAACCGCATGGGGAGTGATAGCCCACGTGATATTTATGGTAGATATACTGATATACTAGCCATTAGATTAGGATTATCATGGTTTTAGTTTATCTAAGCATTTATGATTATCTAAGCATTTATGATGATCTAAGCATTTTTGATTATCTAACCATTAGGTTTATGGATGTTTATGGTAGATACTAAAAAACGATGGGTGAACATGAGCTACATTTACAAGTGGGAGGTCTCACATTTTAGGACTAGATTTACTTTCTGGATTGTTGATAGTGGACGACTCTTAGTGGGATGAATTGAGCTTGCCTAGCTAGTCCCAAAAAGGCTCAAAATCAAAGTGCATGGCTACGCCAAAGTTTCTGGAGTTGATGGTGGTAGTCTTGTCTTACCTATATTCCGGAAAAGTCATCGTTTTCCTCAAACCCTCATCCTTGGAATCCATAGGGCTAGGTTTTTTGGGCCAGAGTTCTTTTTCCCTTAGGCCCTGGAATAGAAGAGTCAACACTTCAATTGGCGACCCCACATTGAAAAACCCTTGACATCTTAAAACCCTTCCAAGTTGACTACGAAGCCCATTGAAAATCAAACAGCTTTCACCTCTAAAACGTTGAGTCCTGTCAGGCCGCGGCCACAGTGGAAAATTTCCACCATTGGTGTTGTGGTAGAACCCACACCAAAGATGGTGCAGTAGGTGTACTATCTATAGGGGCCATTATGTAAGAGTGCACCTATCATGATTTATCTTTAGGGTCTTTGGTGTGATAAAAATATAGTTTCAGTAGTCCAAGTGTTACGGTGATGATCATCTTTAACGATCAACATTGGCTTGGATACTCCAATGGTAATTCTAATTCTAGCACTCTGGGAAAAAATATGATATGTGTCCAAAACCATGAAAAAGGCCATTCCCAACTGCGAACCATGGTGCTGGTATATTTACCTAAACATGTACCCGAAAACCTAGATGTTGTAGGTAAATTCACCAGCACCTAGGTTCGCATGTGGGATTTCGGGATGATGAAGAATCCAATTCCCATCATCAATGGTGAGGTCAAATAGGGTCGCTACCCTCTGGTAAACATACAAAAAACTATGGAACATCACCATTTTTAATGGGAAAATCAACTATAAATGGTTATTTTCAATAATAGCTATATGTTAGTTTACCAGAGGGTAAATAAAATTTACCCAAACCAACGGTTGCCTTCTCAGAATCCCAAATTTGGATCTGCTTTAATGACAGATATTCCATGATATTCCCAGTTCTATAGATAACCTTCTTGAAGTCGATTTCCGGAAAGTCAAAAAACCAATGGTACCAAATGGATATTCATGTGAATCGTTAGACATACTCATTAATAGGACATTTCTATCATTTCCGAGGAAATTTCTATTTGGTGGCGCATCCCACGAATCCTAAGTAGCCTACATCCCGGGTTATTTCAGTGGGAGAAGAAGGGTATTCATCCACTGAAATAACTAGGGTGAAGCAACCTACTTGCGATTCGTGGATAGTTCACCACCAAGTAACCACAATATTGACCACCATGAACCATTGTTAAACCATATGTTCCCAACATTTTCCCAAACGCCAGGCTGTCCATGTCGTCCGATGATTTCCAGCTAAAGCACAAAGGCCAAGCGAACTGCAAGCGACGCATCCTTGCTCAACCTGCTTTCGGAAAATCTGTGGGAAACTCTGAGGAAAGTGATCAATTTACTGGAGGGTAAATCTATTAGATCTAGTACATTGGGAAGTATAGAAGGGATAATTATCAATAGAGGAAAACTCACATATTGGAGAGTTATCAGTACTGCAGGAAACTAGCAAAGCCATAGTTGGACATACCTGTGGTTGCCCGACCAATAACTTTCGTGGTGCATTCTCCATGTGAACCAACATCAACAATTGTGGAGCACCAAGCGGAAGTAAGAACCATGGTAACCTTGAAGGCTCACTAATGGCATACTTGGGGGATCATAGAGCATCAATGTCCAAAATATGATCACCCGCTTAGAAACTAGAATATACCAATTCAAGAAGCACATGTGTCTGATGTGTTTTTTCTTTCCCCAGCAGTAATCTCTCTCATACTAGTTGCAAGTTGTAACATGTTTTTCCGGCTTGGTAGTACAAAACCAACATGAGATGGTTAATCTTATTGACATCTTCAGTATGGTAAACCCAATAGTAAGCCAAACATGGCTGAGGGTTTATACAATCAATTTATGGTCATATTGAGTTATATTGGGAATGGTTTGTTGGATTTACCACATTACTTCGCATGACTTCGCCAGCCTGTTGATGAAAGGCATCAGCGATGAACCAATTAAGATTCCGATTCCCCCCAGTGAATTTCTCACCGTTGATTCGCACATCCGTTTTC